CATGTGTATATATATATTTATATTATTATATTTAATATTATATATAACTATATTTAATATATAAGCATAACATATATATTTTTTAATATACATATGCATGTGTTTGTATTTATATATACACATAATAAATATACACAGTACACACTCATATATTATGTAAACAAAAACTTTTATTTTGGATGTGAGTAATCGTGATGAATCGTTTAACTGCACTAATATATATATATATATATATATATATATAACTTATAAATAGTAATAATAAATAAAGAACTAAATAAATAAATGAAAATTCAGCTTTTCCATCACAGGAATAAATTACAGTTTAAAGTATATTAAAATAGAAAAGTTATTTTTTATTTTAATAATATTTAAAAAAAATTATAGTATTTCACTATTATTATTATTATTATTATTTAATAATAATAATAATAAATTATTATTATTATTATTATTGTTGTTGTTGAGTCTTCCCCACAGCTCATGGATGTTTCTGTGTGGTGGATATTGGTGGACTCCTGCAATATACTTTTCAAATCATCTCATTATGTTACCATAATTCAGAGAGCAGACTTTTTATTTTCAAGCACACTCTAACTAAATTAGTGTAATTATCCTGATAGACAGCTTCAACACCTCTGCAACAACTTGCAGTAAATTGCCTCACTTAATTCCATGCCGTTATTGGTCATATGAAGAACAAGAGCATTAGAACTGACGCTTCGAGGCACTACATCAACACCCCTTGTTAACACAACAGGGATTCAATCTCTTCTTGTTTTATTGCATCATCGTTTTTTGGCCTTTTGGCCATTTTTATAGATCGAAATGTAGTGTTTCAGATTGCTGATGAGTTTCCATGAGCGTTAGGATTCTTCCCTGCTTATCTAGGCTGCTTACTCTGAGCTAATGAGAGAAAAACACAGTCTGATAAAAGAAATGCTATGATATTACAGAGTTCATAACTAAGACATCAATAGGTCTCTTTCATACAGTTTTCTTTCAGGGTGAGAGAATAGTCAGTGCTGGAAAAAGAATTGCATTTGGAGTTGAAGGGATCCCATGAGAGTGTCTGGATAGGTGTGAATAGCTGAATGACAGAGATACATGCTCAGTGCCATCATCTCACTCCTCAGAAGAGACAATCCCAGCTGATAATGTCTCATTGAGGCTTTACGCTGGGCTTTGTGTAAGTGACATTGTCTGACAGGCCTCAGTGATAACATCAGATAAGCGTTGGTTCTGCATCTGCGCTGAATCCCGGGAGCTTCTAAAGGGCACAGGGATTGTGTGTTTGTAATAAGAGGTCAAGGTTTGGTTGTTAGCATGGTCCAGTTAACTATTGCTAGCAGATGCCATAACCACACCATCTGAGGGTGAAAGGCTTCTTGAATGTTCATTCAAAGGTTGCTGTGTGTTCTGATGAAAGAAAAATAATTTCATTATATTGTAGATTTTTCTGTTTAATTTAAGTAAGAATGGTAAATTGAAAATTAAATAACGTAAATGTTTACATTTATGTAGTAATTTGATTACAACTGCTTTTCTATAGGAAACTATATTACTTTTAATATTGATTTATATTTATAAATATTGATTTATTGGATATATATTTCTGATTGAATACAAGCAGGAATGGTATAATAATTCATCATAACTGTGTACATTCATGTAGTAATTTGACTGAACTGCATTCTCATAGGAAATATTTACATTTTAGTAGTATTTATTTTGTAAAATATATTTTTCTTTATATTTTATTACAATATGTATTTATTGTGTATATATATATATATATATATATATATATATATATATATATATATATATATATATATATATATATATATAATATACACAGCTGATAATGTCTCATTGAGGCTTTACGCTGGGCTTTGTGTAAGTGACATTGTCTGACAGGCCTCAGTGATAACATCAGATAAGCGTTGGTTCTGCATCTGCGCTGAATCCCGGGAGCTTCTAAAGGGCACAGGGATTGTGTGTTTGTAATAAGAGGTCAAGGTTTGGTTGTTAGCATGGTCCAGTTAACTATTGCTAGCAGATGCCATAACCACACCATCTGAGGGTGAAAGGCTTCTTGAATGTTCATTCAAAGGTTGCTGTGTGTTCTGATGAAAGAAAAATAATTTCATTATATTGTAGATTTTTCTGTTTAATTTAAGTAAGAATGGTAAATTGAAAATTAAATAACGTAAATGTTTACATTTATGTAGTAATTTGATTACAACTGCTTTTCTATAGGAAACTATATTACTTTTAATATTGATTTATATTTATAAATATTGATTTATTGGATATATATTTCTGATTGAATACAAGCAGGAATGGTATAATAATTCATCATAACTGTGTACATTCATGTAGTAATTTGACTGAACTGCATTCTCATAGGAAATATTTACATTTTTGTAGTATTTATTTTGTAATATTTATTTTTCTTTATATTTTATTAAAATATTTATTTATTTTATATATATATATATATATATACAATTTAATTTAAGCATCAATGGTAATTTTGAAAACCTGTAAATTGTAAATTAATGTAAATTAAAGTAATTTGATTGCAAATGCATTCTTATAAAATATACATTTATTTTTAATTTTACATTTTATTAATATTTATTTTCTAATTTATATTTGTATTAAATTGGGAGCATTTATTTATTCAGTATATATTTCCAATTTAATTTCAGCAAGAATCATTAAAAATTCAGTAAATTGTAAATTAAACAACGTAATTGTTTACACTCTAAAAAATGCTGGGTTGTTTCAACACAACTTTTGGTCAAATATGGGCTAACCCAACTTTTGGGTTAAAAATGTAATGTAAAAATTTAACCCAACTGTTGGGTTAGTCCATATTTGACCCAAAGTTCTGTTGAAACAACCCAGCATTTTTTAGAGTGTACATTTATGTAGTAACTTTTGTTATTAGAGCTGCATTCTCAAATGAACTATTTAATTTATTTATAATATTTATTGTTTAATATTTATTTTTTATTAAAATCAGACATATCTATTTTTTGATGTATATGCGTTCTTTTTAAATGATTTTAAAGTTATTTAGTTATCTTTTTTTAACCTGATTAAATAAAGGTTTACTACCAGTAGTGATGAGCATGCATTTTGACCAGCTTTTTGTTTTGTTGAGTTAAAAAGTAAGCAGATATGTAATGAAATCACTACATTTACAGGCTGCCCATTTCATATGCTTGAACAGCATCTATGAAAACACTTTAGAACGACTTGCAAAGATTTCAAGAGTCTGGAATAAATGTGTTTGAGTGGATGGAATCAGGGAAAAGGACACTCTCCGCAATGTAATACATATTTTCTCATACAGTTCAATAATTTATTGACTCTGCCAAGACAGGATAACACCCCCACCACCAAAGCTCATTCAAGGCTTCTGAGAAGACCCTTGACACAGAGCTTGTCGGGAAATTGGACAAGTTCAAGTCTGTCTCTCTCAGTGATTCTGAATTATTGAACCAGCCCAAATTTGCCGCCTCTTCTTCTTCTCCTTCTTTATTCAGCTTTCACCCAGCTTCAGGTCGCAGTGCTGTCACAACAGACATTGCAGTTCAATGAGGAGAGTCTCTTAGATGAGTGTGTTTCAGTTAAGGATGCTTTTGGTTGCAGAACAGTAAAGATGCGAGGAACTATTGGACATGTCAACATCCATGTTGATTCACATCTCATTTTGCATTAGAAAGAATGTCCAGTGCGATGATCAATTTGTGTGCTGTGCTTCTATTCATGTTCACCACTGCCTGAGCGAGAATGAGTGTGACTGAGCAAGTAAACCCTTGATTAACATACTGACTGGCTAAGCTTCGCTTCTCAAACATTTCTGTCGGAGGAAATTCTCCCATAATAAATGACTGTAGGATCTGAGCACTGCCCCACAGAGAAGCACTGACAGCCCAGCCGTGCTGAGATTTGACAACAGGCCTCTTGTGTTTCCACTCTGCAGTTTGACATGCAACAGATGTCCCTGGAGGAGCTCAAACACGTCCTGTTCCACGCCTTCAGAGACCATCTCACCATGAAGGACATCGAGAATATTATCGTCACCGAGGAAGAGAGCTTGAAGGAGAACTCAGGAAACTGCCAGACCGAATTTCAGGGAGGTAAATAGCAATGAGAACGAGTTCATGTTAATTGACGGATCCTGCAACAGTTTGTTGAACTCGCGCTGATTCAAGTTTACAGACACTGGAAACTTTGCGAAGCTCCGATGAGGTGAAGCTTAAAATTCTGACAGTAACTGGAGAATTGAGTTCTGTATGAATACCAATGAAAAGATTTCCACATGATCAGCAGAGCGTAGGAGTGAGCGACCAATTTTTCAGAAGCCAAGAGGTATTTTTAAGCCTTGAATCAAACCAACTGGCTAAATCAAAACTTACTAACATTTTTATTCAAATTAAGGTACAAGACTGTGTATTTAAAGAGACAATGAAGTACTCCTCCAATTAAACATTAGAAATGATGTAATTGAATCATAAATGATGATATATAACATTATTGACTGTTGTATATAGTACAATATCACACATATTTAATTTAAATTTAAATATATAAAAATAGATATATTTTAATTTTATTGCAAAGTATTAAGAGTAGTCAATAGCGTCAGTGCTGAAATCTTTTGCATCTAAATCTATTGAAATCTACAGAAGCATGTATCATGGTGCAATATAAACTTTTCAACTTATAGTGGTTTATTAAAAATGCAATATAATAAGCGAATTAAATTAAAACAATTATATTTAAAAATTGAATTACAGTTATTTAAATTTTGATTGATTATAATTATAGATGAATAAGTAGTAAGAATGTTGTCAGTATGTCATTCACAATGCTTTATGGAAGTGACAGCGACTTCTCTGATTGGCCGATCTAATGGATACTTAAAAAAAAAAAGAGCTGAAATCGCATTGAATTTCGGCTTCTACAGAAGCATGTATTATGTTTATAACTGACTTGTAGACAATTATTGTAATTATACAAATTAAATGAAATATATTGAAATGTATTTAATTATAAAATAAATAAATAAAGAGTGTAGTCAATAATGTTTGCAATGCAATGCCTTAGTAACAGCAACTTCTCTGATTGGTGCCTCCAATGAAAAGCTTGCTTTTTTAAATGAAGCTAATACCACATTGGCTTTTGGCTTCTGCGAAAGCATTTATCATCGCTTAACAATCACAGTGCTCATAGTAGGTCTTGAAAGGTTTATATGTTATCATTAAAAATCCATTTCTTTATGGATTTTTACATCTGGAGCCCGACTATTAGGCTCTATAGTCTGATGTGTTTGCCCAGAAACTGGGCATTTAATGAGATGAGAGTTCTGTGCTCTCGATGCATTATAGTTTTTTTGGAATGAAAAGCATCTGATAAATGAAAGCAACTAGTGTAATATTTTCTTTACTCCCTGCATTGGTTACTTATGAATTTCACCCGCTTTATTGAACCAGATGTTCATCAGCCAACAAAAGTAAAGGGAATGAATGGAATTCAGAAACGGGAATTATCGTAAAAGCTTGTATGCAATTATGTTTCAGCAGTTCGATATTTAATTTCAATATGCAGCACAGAATAACAACACAAATTGAATGGAATTGAATCTGCTGGCCCTGAGAAAAAGATGAATAAAATGTAACAATTTCATGCCTCGAAATCCAATTAGTCTGTCACAATGTTTTAAAATATATGCTTTATTGGCCCACACTGTGCCCTTAAACCGTTTCACATGAATATTGATTTCTGTCTGCGTGTGTGTGTGTGTGATCATGAGTGTGTCGAGTCCAGTGAGGCAGCTCAGCAGAGCCAAACGTTTTGTTTCATTATTGTTCATATTCAAAGCCTCATTATGCACAGAGATCAGCAGCAATGCTGGATCATTGTTTTGATGGCTTATGCTCATTGTGTGCTGTCATCTCTTCTCATTGAAGCTCTTTCACAAATGCTCTGTTCTACTCCATTAGTGCATTCGAAAAAGAAGAATCGCCAGACGTGTGTCCGCAAGAGCCTCATCTGCGCTTTTGCAATGGCCTTCATCATCAGCGTCATGCTCATCGCAGCCAATCAGATGTTGCGAAATGGCATGGAGTAGCCCCGCCCACTGTGAACCCTGCTTGATCTGACCTCTCTTAAGAAACATGCTTCAAAAACTCCACTTTCTTTTAGAGCGTGGGGAGCCCACCGAGCAGAGGATTTGAATCCCGAGAGCGAGTTTTGTGTTTGTGATTGTGATTGTGACAGACTCTTAAACGGCAGTGAGGGATGTCCTCCATCATCAGCTTGACAGGAACATGCTCATTAAAAATCCATTTCTTTATGGATTTTTACATCTGGAGCCCGACTATTAGGCTCTATAGTCTGATGTGTTTGACCAGAAACTGGGCATTTAATGAGATGAGAGTTCTGTGCTCTCGATGCATTATAGTTTTTTTGGAATGAAAAGCATCTGATAAATGAAAGCAACTAGTGTAATATTTTCTTTACTCCCTGCATTGGTTACTTATGAATTTCACCCGCTTTATTGAACCAGATGTTTTCATCAGCCAACAAAAGTAAAGGGAATGAATGGAATTCAGAAACGGGAATTATCGTAAAAGCTTGTATGCAATTATGTTTCAGCAGTTCGATATTTAATTTCAATATGCAGCACAGAATAACAACACAAATTGAATGGAATTGAATCTGCTGGCCCTGAGAAAAAGGTGAATAAAATGTAACAATTTCATGCCTCGAAATCCAATTAGTCTGTCACAATGTTTTAAAATATATGCTTTATTGGCCCACACTGTGCCCTTAAACAGTTTCACATGAATATTGATTTCTGTCTGCGTGTGTGTGTGTGTGATCATGAGTGTGTCGAGTCCAGTGAGGCAGCTCAGCAGAGCCAAACGTTTTGTTTCATTATTGTTCATATTCAAAGCCTCATTATGCACAGAGATCAGCAGCAATGCTGGATCATTGTTTTGATGGCTTATGCTCATTGTGTGCTGTCATCTCTTCTCATTGAAGCTCTTTCACAAATGCTCTGTTCTACTCCATTAGTGCATTCGAAAAAGAAGAATCGCCAGACGTGTGTCCGCAAGAGCCTCATCTGCGCTTTTGCAATGGCCTTCATCATCAGCGTCATGCTCATCGCAGCCAATCAGATGTTGCGAAATGGCATGGAGTAGCCCCGCCCACTGTGAACCCTGCTTGATCTGACCTCTCTTAAGAAACATGCTTCAAAAACTCCACTTTCTTTTAGAGCGTGGGGAGCCCACCGAGCAGAGGATTTGAATCCCGAGAGCGAGTTTTGTGTTTGTGATTGTGATTGTGACAGACTCTTAAACGGCAGTGAGGGATGTCCTCCATCATCAGCTTGACAGGAACATGCAAGGGTTCCTCACTGAATACCATTTAATGCAATAACATCCAGTGTCCCTCCGCGCTGCGCGTTTTTCTCATTCCTGTCTTTGAAAGGGGAAGACTTTGTACTTGATCTCACTCCAAGTCATGTCAGATGGGAACGATGAGGAGTGATTGGCAGCCGCTGCAGGATGTCTGGCATCAAGAGCGTGTGCATGTTCATTTCAGATGCACTGTATGTTTTGTTCGCAGCATTGCGGTGTTGAAGCTTATTCATGGAATTGATTGAAATATATTGCTTAATGTTGAAGGGACTGTGGGTATTTTTGGAATAGCATACTACCATAATATTACTTTTACAGTATGCAAAGAAAATCACAAATTACCACAATATGCAGGATATAATCTGCATCGCACAGTGCATCGTACACAGTTTTGAGTATGATTTTTTTTTCTCCTTTTTTGATTGGACTGTCAATTAGTATTTTTTTGGGTTGAAAAAGGAATATAACTATGTATTTTTATTTCCAAGGAAAGTTTATTTATAATTGCACATAATGATCATTTAAAGTGCTTTACATTTTCATAATTGAGAGATAGGACGAGGGAGAAAAATTATGATTCAGGAGAGAAAAAACATAAAATATATAAAAGTTTCGTTTAAAATGGTTATTAATTAGCAGCTGCTGAACTCAACATGCAATGTGATCAAATTAAATGACATCAACATAAAATATTACTGTCTAAAACGTATATCATCGCATACTGTGTACTTTTTCCACATACTGTTTAAAAAAAAAAATAGTAAGAAGTACCATTAACATTTTGGGGTCAGTAAGATTTTTTTGAGGTAAAGAAATTAATTATTTTTCAGCAATGGTGCATTAAAGGAATAGTTCACCAAAAATGATATTTTTGTCATTAATTACTCGTGTCGTTTTAAACCTGTAATACCTTCATTGATCTTTGAAACACAAATGAAGATATTTGTGATGAACTCCGAGAGCGTTCCGACCCAGCATAGACAGCAACGCAACTGACACGTTCAAGACCCAGAAAGGTAGTAAGGACATCATTAAAATAGTCCATGTGTCATCAGTGGACGTTTTGCTCATTTATTCCCTTGTTTTTGATAATCAGATGAGGGAATAAATTAATATAACGTGGCTAATATTTCAAAAACAAGATAACAAAGGAATAAGGTCACGTCGCCACAATTTCACTAAAATGAGGGAGCGAGGGCCATTACCCAATCTCTTGTTTTGTGTGGGCTATCGACACGAAAGAAGAGAGTATAATACTCTCTTTGATTTTAAAACATAGTATCAAGGTCTTCTAAATGTCTGCATATATTGTCTGGTTAAAATATATGACACTGAACTTCTGCGGAAGTGTCTATGCTACATAGTTGGACTTTTTGGTCCATTTTGAGGTTTTATTCACTCTCAGGCACAGAGAGTTAGTGAATGCAACACAAATTGCTCTGAAACAACCAGAAGTAAACTGGTCGGTCTCTACAATAGCACTTTTTCTTTTACAGTTACAGTCTGTGTGTAATATGAGTATTTGTCTACCTGTTTGTCTATGTATTTATAATGTGTGTGCACATCAGTCCCTTTCCCTGTGTTCCTTATTAGTGTGTATACTTACAGCCGTTTGTCACAATCCCCTGTATATTGCATGTGTATTTATGCATATAGTGCCGCACAAAAGTCGTCTTTGCATTGTCTGTTCGACTGTCATGTTTGCATGTTCAGAACACTAATGCAGTGTTTTTCCAAGGTCTGTACCACTTGCAGGCATTTGCTGAGAGCATCAGTCTAAATGTCTGAACTCCCATTGTTTCCTTCCTGTGAGCAAATATGATATGAATGATACCAGCAGCATTCTGTGCCAAAATGCAATGCAAAGGAAAAGCGGATTATTGGGAACCGTTTACTGGCCAAAGTTCTCCAGAATGTCACAGAACGGCTTGATTGAGGAGGACTGGTGCATTTTATTCTGTCAGTCTGTGCTTTGGAATGAGGAGATTTCCAAAAGAATGGCCCCATCTAGTGGCCTATTCTGAAGATGTGATGTAAAAATGGTAGGTAACGAAGAAACTTACGTTTAGCATGTGAAGTAACGCTAGTAAAGAAGAAATGTTATTTAAAGAAATTAAGAAACAAAGTAACCTTTACCAAAAATAAGTTTGAAACGATAGTGGAATTCAGTGTAAATTCCATATGTATCAATTTAAAGTGTTGCACCTTATTTTATTTAATAATATAAGACTATTTGTTCACTGTTCCTGTCATTTATCACAAAAGCAGATTAGTGGACTAAAGTTTAGAAATCTCTTGCATCATTTAGTCATTATTCTATGTATCCCCCTGCTTGTTGCCATCTTGTTAGATTCTACATTCTACTAAATATTACCCTCTAGTTTATGGGCATTTTGGATATATAAATTGGTAAAGGTTTTATTTGCTATTGTATTTTATATTTTGTTGATTAATAATATTGTTTTCTTTTTTTTTAATCTTGCAAAGGTTGATGGAATTTCTCATTTAGATTACTCTCAATCCAGATCCTAACTTCATCTGAATTTGAAGCATGACAAATACAATTTTATATGTGTGTATTTTTATGGAGTATATTAAAAGAAGGATTATTAATATGCAAAACAGCATACATATTTGCATGCAGGATGTGGACTGACCGATTAAAGCAATATGGTTTCTAAACAAAAATGTATCATTACACGTATCATTACACAAAGAATATGAAGAAATAAAAGAAAGTTATTTATTGAACATGACAATAAATGCCTTTGCATCCAATTATTGATATAATGATGATAATAATTGATATAATAATAATTTTTGTTATTATTGTTGCCTGAGCCAGTAGGGGGAAGCATTGGATTTTCTACAAATAAGACTACAATTGTGTTTGCATACTATCAGGGTTTGAGTCACCAATGAACCCAGCTGTACAAATGACAAATAAATTACTTAATCTACTGTTTTTCTGATTAAAAAAAAAAACCCAGCACTGTTAATGATCTGATAATCTCTTTCATTTAAAGCATCTACAAAATAACATGTTTACACAAACTGTCTGAGGTAATACACTCTAAAGGCTGTTTAATACTTCAAAATCTGTACTAATGCTTCTCAGTTGGTACTGTGTATGTACTGTATTACCAAGTCAAATGGTAGACAGCTGTGAACCCAACCATGTAAACATAAAAAAAATAAAAAATATTTTACAGGTCATTTCAAATTTTACAGCATCTACAGTATATGTAATCATAGCACATGTATACATATATAAAAGGCACTTAATGTAATTACAATTATACATTTAGAGACAAAAAAAATTATAATTTTCTTAGGAAAAAAGACTTTGCCAGAGTGTTACTAGTGTAATATTCAGGTGTGCAAGTGTGATAGAATAAAAGAAAGTTATTTATTGAACATGACAATAAATGCCTTTGCATCCAATTATTGATATAATGATGATAATAATTGATATAATAATAATTTTTGTTATTATTGTTGCCTGAGCCAGTAGGGGGAAGCATTGGATTTTCTACAAATAAGACTACAATTGTGTTTGCATACTATCAGGGTTTGAGTCACCAATGAACCCAGCTGTACAAATGACAAATAAATTACTTAATCTACTGTTTTTCTGATTAAAAAAAAAACCAGCACTGTTAATGATCTGATAATCTCTTTCATTTAAAGCATCTAAAAAATAACATGTTTACACAAACTGTCTGAGGTAATACACTCTAAAGGCTGTTTAATACTTCAAAATCTGTACTAATGCTTCTCAGTTGGTACTGTGTATGTACTGTATTACCAAGTCAAATGGTAGACAGCTGTGAACCCAACCATGTAAACATAAAAAAAATAAAAAATATTTTACAGGTCATTTCAAATTTTACAGCATCTACAGTATATGTAATCATAGCACATGTATACATATATAAAAGGCACTTAATGTAATTACAATTATACATTTAGAGACAAAAAAAATTATAATTTTCTTAGGAAAAAAGACTTTGCCAGAGTGTTACTAGTGTAATATTCAGGTGTGCAAGTGTGATAGTAATGGCTGTATAGAAGCTTTTGTTTTAAGCAACTCAAAGCTTCCTTTAGAAAAATAGCCTAAAACATCATTACATAGCACCACATAACTGCAAGTCTCTCAATTAGATTAATGTTAATACTGTTGCAACATAAAGTAGCATTGATGCTGTAGTGTTTCCACTCTGAGATCAGCATCAAGCAGTTCAAGTGAATTCCAGCTTGTTTGCTAATGCAATTAATTCATATTTGTGGTTTTAAATCATATCCCAGGTTTAAATTTTTTTTTTTTTTGATAACAGTTGTGGGCCAATTTATTGTTTAAGGATTTGTTGTTGGTCTTTTTAATTTAATATTACTTGTAAGATGCAAACAGATGGCCACGATTTTAAAATTTTAATGGCCATTAAATATTCTCAAAGGTGAGTGCATTGTGTTTCAAGTTAAAACTTAAGTTAAACTCTGAATGACAATCCTGTGATGGCCAAGCTGAATTTTCAGTAACACGCATCTTTCAAAAATCATTCTAATATGCTTATATAGTGTTTCAGTTGTGATGTTTAATATTTGTTGTCAAAACCTTAATAATCCTTACTGACCCCTAACTTTTGAACAGTAGTGTATGCTGTGCAATACAAAATCATATGCTTAAAAGTGTTTAAAAAACAAGCATATGGCACAATTTGATCATAAAACTCTTTTTCATAACAATAGAACTGTAAAGAGTCCAGCAGAGTCAGCTTGTATGAAGCGTTTCTCTAAAACTCAGTGTGCAATGGCCTGCTGAAATCCCTGGATCCAATCTCACTGGGTTTCATGAAGACGCCCTCCATTGTTTTCCAGTAGCTGTGTGAGCTGCTGACCATCATGCCGTGCACTTCTCTCTGGCCGTGGATAGGTCTGCCGTACTGTTCTCCCGTCACAGACAGCAGAGCCTCGGTGGCCGTGTGGCGAAACCGAACTGACTCATCCCGCTGCCAAACAGAGCCTGCACACAGAACGGTCCACTCGTCCAGATGGTCACCCTCGCCGTTCTCACCAAAGGCACTGACCTCCTAAATGGGAAGAGTTTTTGAGTAAAACTCCACAGCCTAGTGCAACATCAAAATTCTACATATAGTACCTATACGTTACAGTGTGTTTTTATTAAAAAAGCATGACATATTAAAACCTGATTTGAAGAAAGAGGAGAAGTAAAGTAGTGGCTGTGTAGATTGCGGCCCGTGTTCACATGGGTCAATCGGATGTTCTGTCCACACTGTACCGGAGTCCCTCGATGACATGCGGCATCACTGGTGCCCCGCACACTCCAGTAACTGTTACTGTCCTCCACACCGGTCACACCGGTCACCGACTGCTGACCACTACCTGGAATTATCATTAACAGATCATAGAGAGATTCTGTACTGCTGCTGCAGCTTCTTTCTTTACTATTAAGAAAGAAAATCAATACTTTTTTTCAGCATCAGCAGGGATGCATTAAATGTATCAAAAGTATCAATAAAGACATTAATAATGTTACAAATATTTCTATTTCAAATAAATACTGTTATTTCAAACTTTCTAGTCAAAAAAATGACAGTTTCCACAAAGTATTAAGCAACACAACTGTTTTCAACATTAATAAGAAATGTTTTTTGAGCAGCACATCAGCATATTAGAATGGTTTCTGAAGGATCATGTGACACTCAAGACTGGAGTAATGATGCTGAAAATTCAACTTTGCCATCAAAGCAATGGATTACATTTTAAAATACAGTGGGTACGGAAAGTATTCAGACCCCCTTAAATTTTTCACTCTGTTATATTGCAGCCATTTGCTAAAATCATTTAAGTTAATTTTTTTTCCTCATTAATGTACACACAGCACCCCATATTGACAGAAAAACACAGAATTGTTGACATTTTTGCAGATTTATTAAAAAAGAAAAACTGAAATAACACATGGTCCTAAGTATTCAGACCCTTTGCTCAGTATTTAGTAGAAGCACCCTTTTGATCGAATACAGCCATGAGTCTTTTTGGGAAAGAGGCAACAAGTTTTTCACACCTGGATTTAGGGATCCTCACAAAGTAATCATATACAGTAATGTGTTTATTTAATGGCTTTTGAAAACTGTTGTTAGTTTTGTGTGACCCTGGACCACAAAACCAGTCATAAGAGTACATTTTTTGAAATTGAGATTTAGACATCATCTGAAAGCTAAATAAACAAGTTTTCCATTTCCACTGATGTATGGTTTGTTAGGATAGGACAATATTTGGCCGAGATACAACTACAGTAGTCAACATTTGAAGTGGATCAAGAAAAATTCATCAAAGCTGTCCTACGACAAGAACGCATTTTGGTTTTAGGTTTTAGGACAGCTTTAATGAGAGGTTGTGATCACTTCAAATGTTGACTACTATATTTGAAAATCTGGAATCTGAAGGTACAAAAAAATGTAAAAATAAATAAATATTGAGAAAATCGTCTTTAAAGTTGTCCAAATTAAGTTCTTAGCAAAGCATATTTCTAATCAAAAGTTACGTTTTGATATATTTACGGTAGGAAATGTACAAAATATCTTCATGGCACATTAACTTCACTTAATATCCTAATGGTTTTTGGCATAAAAGAAAAATCGATCATTTTGACCCATACACATGCTTTTTATGACTGGTTTTGTGGTCCAGGGTCACATCAAACGTTTATATCACTGCCATACAGATGAGGCGAGCAGACTTTACGAATGACAGTCACTCACCAGATCCATAGCGGACATCATGAGAGTGTAACCTGACGTTGTGTTTCACATTGAGCAGCTTCACCACCGACCCGCACGTTACAAAATTCATTTCACTGCCGGAGGAGAATGTAAACATACATGACAATAACACTGTTAAAGGCAACTGCGCCCGTAAGAACCCCAAACTATCCATGGCTTGCCGAGTCCTTCTTCTTCTTCTTGTACGATTTTATGGCGGTTGACAAGCCAACTTGTGGTGTATTACCGCCACCAACTGGACTGGAGTGTGAAGCATTAACGGGAAAGAGGGAAAAAGGAACCCCAAAAAAAAAAAAAAAAATTATTAATAATAATAATAATAAAAAGAACCATTCCATAAATAAAACAACCGGTAGTATTATTATGACATTTAAATTCTACTTTCTAATCCTGTTATCTTCAGATAACTGAAATACTGGTTTCTGTATTGCGTTTGTTTTCATAAAAAAATGTGTCTTTGTATATGTCAGGTTATGATGACTATCTTGATGATGATGATCTGGACCTCATCGAGGAGAATTTAGGAGTAAAAGTGAAGAGAAGGGTGAGTCACCAAACTTCCAGCCTGTGCTAAATTACAGAATTTATATTAATTTAACTGATACTAGTTAAACAGTTTTGAACTGAAAAAAATATGTTCAGAAAAAGAAATACTCGCGTGTGAAAACCATGGATGATGAGGGGGAAGATGATGAGAAAGACCTGATCGCTGATGAGATCTTCACTGGGGATGGTGACGGAGATGGAGAGGTGGAGGACGGAGAGGCTGTGGACACACTTCACCCAAGAGATGACGAAGAGGGGGAAGATGATGAGGAATCTGGTAGGAAAGATGTTTACCCTATTCATCATGGATTTTAATTAATATTTTATAATTCTTTGGAATTTTGATGTTTTTTTTTTTCTTTTCAATATTTGCTAGATATTGATGATTTCATTGTGGATGATGATGGGCAGCCCATCACTAAAAAGAAGGGAAAGAAATTCTCTGGCTACACTGATGCGTAAGTGATGTAAACAGTAAAGCAGTGGTTTGCTCATGAAAATATAGACTTCTCTGTGTGGTATGAAGGACTAAAGCACTGACAGAAATGGCCTTCAACCCATGACTTTCTTATCTCTAATGTTGCTCCTTTTCTGACATTTTAGTGCCTTGCAAGAAGCTCAAGAGATATTCGGTGGTGACTTTGACTTTGCCGAGTTCGACACTGAGGCATATGATCATGCGGAAGAGGAAGAGGAGGATCAGGATGATGAGTCATGGGATCGGCCAAAGAAGCAGACCAAGAGAAGAGTTGGCCGCCGTAGCATATTTGAGATCTATGAGCCCAGTGAGCTGGAGAGCAGCCACATGACTGATCAGGACAATGAGATCCGCTCTACAGACATGCCAGAAAGATTCCAGGTATGGAGCAGTGTTGGCCTTTATATACAATATATCTTTCATTTGCAGTATGCTGTCCAATGTGAAGGATACCTGACACTTCTGCATGCCCTCTACCAGTGTGTTTCCTTTCATGGATGGAAATGAGGATATTTCATAACCTCTTGTCATTTGCAGTTGAGGGCCATCCCTGTAAAGCCTGCTGAGGATGATGAACTGGAGGAAGAAGCTGAATGGATTTACAGGAATGCCTTCTCCACACCAACTATCTCCATGCAGGTGTGAATGGAGTATTTGTATAACATGACATTTGTTAGCATATTGTCATGGCACTAAGCTAACTTTGATGCGTATTTGTTTTGTTTTGATTTGCATTGCAGGAGAGCACAGACTACCTAGATCGTGGGACAACCACTAATTTCAGCAGAAAGGGCCCCAGTACTATTGCTAAAATCAAAGAAGCTTTGAACTTCATGAGGAACCAACACTTTGAGGTATAGTCATAGGGAAAAAACAGGGTGTAATAAACTCGACCGACTGATCATCTGGTTTTAACTCCTCTCTCTTCCATCTTACAGGTTCCCTTCATTGCATTCTACAGGAAGGAGTATGTGGAACCAGAGCTGAACATTAATGATCTGTGGAAGGTGTGGCAGTGGGATGAGAAGGTAAGGGCTAGTCAAAATGTTCTCTGAATGCAGTGCGGTTGCTGCTTTTCTTTGGTAATATAGAAATTAATTATGGCTGTCCTCCTCAGTGGACTCAGCTGAAGACCAGGAAGCAGAACCTGACACGTCTTTTCCAGAGGATGCAGTCTTATCAGTTTGAGCAGATCTCCGCTGACCCTGACAAGCCACTGGCCGACTCAACTCGTCCTCTAGACACTAGTGATATGGAGAGGTACGAGTACAAACCTAATGAACGTTCTAATATTATTTGTTTTGTTTTGATTTGCATTGCAGGAGAGCACAGACTACCTAGATCGTGGGACAGCCACTAATTTCAGCAGAAAGGGCCCCAGTACTATTGCTAAAATCAAAGAAGCTTTGAACTTCATGAGGAACCAACACTTTGAGGTATAGTCATAGGGAAAAAACAGGGTGTAATAAACTCGACCGACTGATCATCTGGTTTTAACTCCTCTCTCTTCCATCTTACAGGTTCCCTTCATTGCATTCTACAGGAAGGAGTATGTGGAACCAGAGCTGAACATTAATGATCTGTGGAAGGTGTGGCAGTGGGATGAGAAGGTAAGGGCTAGTCAAAATGTTCTCTGAATGCAGTGCGGTTGCTGCTTTTCTTTGGTAATATAGAAATTAATTATGGCTGTCCTCCTCAGTGGACTCAGCTGAAGACCAGGAAGCAGAACCTGACACGTCTTTTCCAGAGGATGCAGTCTTATCAGTTTGAGCAGATCTCCGCTGACCCTGACAAGCCACTGGCCGACTCAACTCGTCCTCTAGACACTAGTGATATGGAGAGGTACGAGTACAAACCTAATGAACGTTCTAATATTTTATGCTTTGTCCACAGTAATCACACCTCCTTTCTGCTTTCACAGACTGAAAGACGTCCAGTCTCTTGATGAGCTGGGAGATGTCTACAACCACTTCCTGCTCTACTATGGCCGAGACATTCCTAAGATGCAGAATGCAGCCAAGGGCAACAAAAAGAAACTGAAAAAGATCAAGGAAGTGTCAGAGGAAGATGGTACAACTGTGTTTCCTTTGCACAATTTTATCAAATAATGGTCAACCATGCATTAGACTAAAACTGTTTTTGTACTGCTAGGGGAAGAGGCAGAAGAGGAGGAAGAGGAAGAAGAGGAGCAAAAGGGTCCAGATCTAAAACAAGCTTCCCGTAGAGATATGTACAGCATCTGTCAGAGCACAGGCCTTGGTTTGTACATCTCGCACAAAAATAAGACGATGTGTATTTTTTATTTTATTTATTTATGCTGGCAGAGTCAAATGTGCCAAACATATTCCCTGGCAAAAAATGTATAGTACTTTAGAATATAAACTTACAGCAATATATTGATTGCATTTATACTAACATTTTGTGTCAGAGATATTTTTAACAATGTAACTGATATTGTACATAACTACAGTGTAACTCCATGAAAGTGATGAATTCATACATACACTTTTCTTGTAAAATTATGGCATATGGTGACCCCTTTTTTTTATTAGACGGTCTTGCCAAGAAGTTTGGTCTGACCCCAGAGCAGTTTGGAGAAAACTTGCGAGACAGTTATCAGAGGCATGAAACCGAGCAGTTTCCTGCAGAGCCTTTGGAGCTGGCTAAGGACTATGTATGCAGGTAATGCATCATTGCAAACTTGAAATTGTTATTAAAATTACTTCTGTATGCATGTCTTTTACCCACTGCTTATTGGAAGATCATAGCAGTTTTCATATTTATTCATAACTCAAATTTTTTCATAGCCAATTTAACACCCCGGAGGCTGTTCTGGAAGGCGCTCGCTACATGGTGGCCATGCAGATTGCCCGTGAACCTTTGGTTAGGCACGTACTCAGACAGACCTTCCAGGAGAGGGCCAAGATTAACATCAAGCCAACTAAGAAGGGCAAGAAGGTTGGTACTTAGTGTTAATTTAGGAGTTGCAGACATACCTTCTAGTATGTAGGAAGTGACCATTATGTATTATACAAATATTTTATTTACTGTTGTGTTTTTGCTTATCTTCTGCTTTCACTTAACCATATTCATCAAGGAAAGGGTATTATCAGAAAAGCAACCTTCCCACCCCAGCAGAGCTCTGTTGTGTTAAAGCTTTAGCTAGAATGTTCAGTTGATATTATGTAGGTGTGTGTTGTAGGCATAGTTTTTGCTGTGCTACAGTATTACCGTAGTAAACTTGTCGTCCTATTCAAACCCAGACTGAACTAATGTGCCAGTGACTGCATTGTTTGCTCATTCATCAGTAATTCCACATCAGCTAATATCCGTTATGTTTCCTAGGATGTGGATGAAGCGCACTATGCCTATTCCTTCAAGTACCTGAAGAACAAGCCTGTGAAGGAGCTCAATGGAGATCAGTTCTTGAAGATGTGCCTTGCTGAGGAGGAAGGCCTGCTCGCCATAGACATCTGCATTGACCTTGTGGGAGTCAAAGGGTATAGTTGTGTCCTGAAAATTTATCTTTAGATCAAAACCTGAATTGAGTTGTTAAGGATTGTATACAAGAGGTACAGATCAGTACTGTTTGCCTTATCTACAGGTACGGAGGAGATCAGACCTACTTTGATGAGATTAAGCAGTTCTACTACAGGGATGAGTTCAGTCACCAGGTGCAGGAATGGAACAAGCAGAGAACTCTTGCTATTGAACGTTCCTTGCAGCAGTTCCTTTATCCTCAGATGGCCAAGGAACTGAAAAACAAGCTTGTTGCTGAAGCCAAGGACAATATTATTAAGGTGCCACATTAATTGCATGTGTATTATATTCCATTTGCAAGTGCTTTCAGTACCAAACTGTGGTCTATAATAAGTTGATTTGAGTTTCTTGTGTTTTTGGTAGTCTTGTTGCAAGAAGCTGTATAATTGGTTGAAGGTGGCTCCTTATCGGCCTGATCAGCAGGTAGAGGAGGACGATGACCTCATGGATGAGTCACAAGGAAAGGGTATCCGTGTACTTGGGGTGGCATTTGCTTCCGGCAGGTACATTTTTGTTCTGAGGGAGCGAATATATTCTAAATGATTGTGAATAGGGATGCACAATAAAACCCAATATTATTGAATATTTAATTTTTATATTAGGTAATTTAATGCTGACTTAAAGTGAATCTCAATTTAATTCAATTTCTCCTGTATTATAAAATGTATAACTTTATTAGGGCAGCAACAACTAATCGATAAAATCGATTATTATCGATTATGAAAATCATCAACAACGATTCTCATTATCGATTA